GTCATTGCTGGTTGAGCAGAAGACAATAGCAGAAACGAAAAGTCCCAGCAGGAGAAACAGCAGCCAGAGGGGAAACTGCCCTTGGATCATATAATTTCCATCTGATAAATTAAAAAGGAAATAATTTAATCATATGCTTATTTTGATTAAGACTAGGACTTCAAGCTGCTTCTGTTGTAAAATGTTAAGCACTTACATGCTCCAGACTGGAAGACGAGCACACACACCAGAGGAGCAGTGATCAGGTGGAGGCAGTTTAGGGGGCGTCTCCAGTTTCTGTCTTCTTTGTCAGGGTCGACCACAGGGATACAGAGCAGCAGCAGCACTTCCAGAGGAGTCTGATGGGTGCAGACCAAGAACCACAGAATAATTTACTTTAATTTACATTGAAAGACAAGTTTTGACTGGATTTCACTCAAGTCTGTGAACCAGTACCTTTAATACTTTAAGGACTTTCCACTTCCATGATTTCCTCCTCCACCTACGGTTATCGACTGGATTCAAAGAGCTCAGCAGGATCTGACTTGTAGACTCAGAGTAGGGCAGAAGTGGTCGATACTCTGACTCTGCAACACACAGGTGTAAATTATGATCTGATCACTCAGGAATGTGCTGCAGTAAATTTACTTTTGGGTTTATTTTTTGTTTGTTTTTTGTTTTGTTTTTTTAATGGAGGCTGCTGCATTCCTACCATACTCCTGATGAATACTCCTGCCTGTCAGACAGGGAATGTCATCATCTGATGAGTCAGACGAATGAAAGTCTGCTTCAAAGAAAAAACAAAAAAAACATCACTTGGAACTGTGTGGTTTTTATTTGTCTGTGTGTAAGAGTGTGTGTTTATATATCCAACCTGGAACATGTGTAACATTCTGGACACTCGTGTTGTAAGAATATTTTTGCCGGTTGTAAATGAACGCACTGATGATAACAATCACGACGTACAGGACGTAGAGGCCAAGGTACCCTAGAAAAAAGAAAGATCTTATAGTAAAGACATGTAGGGATGATGAACATTACACGCAAGCAAGCACACACAGAGAGACATGTTCTCCAACTAATTAAAACTAGTCAAGACTAGTTTTAATTAACTAGTCTTGACTAGTTTTAATTAACCTCTTCTTTTTGGCCCTGTGGGTTTCACACCTAAGCTGTAAAAACCAGACCAACGACATAGCCGCTGATCTGGCCTACGATCAATCACATTTCACAGGATATTGCAATTTGTGAAGAGCAGAAAGAAGGTTTGAGATCAGGAGTATTATGACAACAAAAGTGAAAATGAATGAGCTGTCGAGTCTAGTCAGGATTCACTGATGGCAAATTAGAACAAATGTAAAGATTTAAAATTATAATATTTGTTCAAAATTCAATGAGAAGCTTTCTAAAACCGGACCAACAAAGAAAAATCGAGAGGTCAAATAGGATGCATAATTAATGCAAGACCATGTGTGCGTGTGTCGCTGTATACCCAGTGTTTCTCCCAGCGTCACAGTTCCTCTGTACAATATGAGGAAAGTCCAAAACACTGCAACCATGTAGAAGATGACATCGCGCAGAAATGGACGAGAAGCTACAGCAAAAGGCTTGACCAGCGCCACGCTGCCAGCAACTACTGTAGTAACAAATATCCCGGCTCCTGGAAAGGCAAACAGGCTGTCACATCTCAAGGCGTTTTTAAATGTATTAACATATCGGTGTGAGCGTGCGCGAGTCTGTGCCTACCAAATAAGGCTCCGACAGCCAACCCCGCTGTGTGCGGGTGGGAAAATGCTGCAATGGCACTGAAGATGTCAGGAGCTCCATTACCAAGAGCCAGAAATGTCACACCCTGATTACAGGCAGCAGTCAAGGAAAATATTCTTCTCAGAAACTATAATATAAACATTAGTGTGCAAAAGTTTTGAGCCTCCCCTTATTTCTTTATTTTTTGGCTTCCAAGGAGCCAGACTTTCTCGTAATCTGGTTTTGAGCAATAGCTCTCCAGACTTTTTGAAGGCATTTCTAAGTATTTCTTTGAACATTTGCTGCTTTTACCATCATTTTCAGTCCAGTTCTTGTACTGATACTTTTCAGTAGAGTGAGTGTTTTTTGTGATATTGATAGAAAAAAAAAAAAAAAATTGGTTTCTACTGTGTGTAAAAGTATTCATGGCGTCAACATTATTAGAGCAGTGTAGAATTGCACAAACTCAGTTATTTCTCATCTTCTAGTCTGTATTTCCATACATTTCAATAAATAGCTGCACACTTCCAAAGAAGTGAAAAAGAAACAAAAAAAAGGTAGATCAATAATTTTGCCCAGTACTGTATATTCTAATATTTAACAGTCTAAGAGGTCAAACAGAAACTTCAGACTGCAGCCCATGGGTAGTGTTCAGGCGATGGAGAGAAAGGATACGGCCACATTGTGGGTGAGGCGCAGACTGGAGGAGATGGCAGACAGGTTGGGACAGAAGCTGGAGAGAGGGGGAAAAATAAATACAATTCAATAATCTTATTGAGAAAACAAAATAATTTAATACCTCAATTTACAAAAAAGCTATGTCTCAATAGATACTTTTCACTGAACACACAACAGCTTCTTTGCAGTAGTGT